TAATATTGAGCTACATCATCACCCCCTTTTGACTTTTAGTTTGAAATAGACTCTTGCTAAGTGGCAAAAGTTGGAATTGTATTTCCATGTTTCAGCCTTCCAAGTAGCTAGAATTAATGGCATATTCATCATCTCTACATATATGAATCTGTTCTTTTTTCTAGGAGTAAGACTTTAGCTTTTGAAAGGTACCATAAAGTTATTTATAATTCTTTATCTTTTATATATTTGTCAAATATATAATTGTGGTCAAAATTGTATATCTTTGCTGAACTTATTGTCTTATATATTTTAAATTTACTGGTCAGTTCTGTTCATTCAAATTTTTTTGTAACATTTTTTTTCTAAAAAATTTGTATCACATTTTTTCTTCAAACAAGTTCTCCTTTTCCTTACTTTTTCATCCCTAATGCCATTTCTTTTGGTCTTTATATTTGGCTACAGTAGATATCTCTAAGAAGTAGAATTACCTGGTATGTTTTTGGTGGGGGGGGTGTGAATTACTATTTTACTTAACATACTCTCCTGAATGTTGATCATTGTAGATATTATATAATTTATTATCTTTGAAAAGATTTCTAACTTTTTCATTTCAAATTGCCTTCATGTAGTCATTTGAAATGATATTTGATTTGCTTGCCACATTGGTCTATTTTGAATGTTATTTAATGAGAATAGGTCTGTAAATATATTTTGATTTGACCATCAAGTTGAGGGCTAATTGATATACTTTCAATTTTATTACCATGGCTTTCTCATTTAACCTCATTACATTGAATATTGTAGCTTTTTTTATTTTATATCAGGAATTACTATTTAAATTTTTTAGTATGTGTAGTTATTGATGTACCAAGACTATTCTAAAGAATTGTTCAAATAACTTATTTTGTTTACACAAAAATAATATTGATTGTTTGGTATTACATAGTCTTCTTAGATTTTTGGGGGTGCTACTGGCAATTTTTTTAAGGACAGGTGCTTAACCACTGAGCCACATGAACAACTCTTTTTGGGGAAGGGTACT